TCAATAAAAAAATGTATCATAACTTTCCCGATGACCCAGTATTTAGGTTTTCTTTTATTTATCTGGGTATGTTTTGTAGTTTCTATTGTGCAGGTTGTATTCATAAATTATTAAATTTATCCCTAGATATTTCATATTTGGGGGTGCCACTGTAAGAAGTATTTTTAAAATTTCATTTTACAGTTTTTCTTCTCAATATAAAGACATTCAGTTGATTTTATATATTGACCTTAAATCCTATGACCTCTCTAAACTCACTTATTAGTTCCAGTAGCTATTTTTCAGATTTCTTAAATTTTTTTCTGTATGGACAAACATGTTATCTGTGAATATAGACAATTTTATACCTTCTTTTCCAATCTGCATGCCTTTTATTTCTCTTTTAAGACCTCAATACAATGTTAAACAGAAGTGATGAAAGTGCGTATCTTTGCCTTGTTTCTGACCTGAAGGGAAAAAGCATTCAGGTTTTCGCCATTAAGTATGATATTAGCTGTAGGTTTTTGGAGATACTGTTTTCATGTGCAGAGCCCTCCCTGAGGACATTACCTTCTATTCCCAGTTTGCTTGGAGTTTTGAATTGAAAAGTACTTTTCCGGGCTGGTGGAGTGGCTCAGTTGGTTAAGAGTTGGCTTAAGAACGCGGGCTCACCACTGCACTATACATCTGAAGCTGCCGTTGAGTAATATTATATGTCAACTATAATTTAATACATATATAGTCATGGGATGTGGAGTCGAGTGTGGGAGTGGAGTCAATGGAATTGTAATAGAAACCATATGTATGATATCGGGGTTGGGGGGACAGTAGAAGTGGGGAGGAGTGTTGTAAAAAAAAAAAAAAGAACACGGGCTCTGAGCAACAGGGCCACTGGTTCAATTCCCACATGGGCTAGTGATGCTGCACCCGAGTTGAGCTGTCACTGAGCTGCCAACAGGTGGCTCAGCTGGTGTAACAACAAGATTGTCTGTTCGATAGTGGGCTATGCCCGCCCACAACTAAGAGTGAACGCTGCACCTTGAGCTGAGCTGCCGCCCAGATGGCTCAGTGGATAGAGTGTGTGCTCTTAACAACAAGGCCGCTGGTTCGACTCTTGCATGGGATGTTGGCTATGCCCACCCACAACTAAGACTGAACTCGGCACCTTGAGTTTAGAGGCCATGAGCTGTTGACGAGAAGCCAGATGGCAACTGGCGCCCTCCACAATGAAGACCGAAGAACAACAACTTGGCTGCTCCCCTTCTCCAAATCCCCAATACTGTTCCCCTCCCCCAATTCCCCAATAAAATCTTTTTTTAAAAAAAAAGTACTTTTTCTGTTCTATTAAGATAATCATACAGGTTTTTCTCTTTTATTCTGTAATATGATGAAGTATAATGATTGATTTTTGTATATTAAATCAACCTTACATCCCTGGGGAAAAGGATAAACCTATATATACGTGTGTGTGTGTGTGTGTGTGTGTGTGTGTGTGTGTGTGTGTGTGTGTTCATGTATTCATTTTTTTGGCTGGATTTTGATTTATTAATGTTTTGTAAAGGATTTTGTCTTTACATTCATGCGGGATATTTCACAGTAGTTTTTTTGTAATGCCTTTATTTGGATTTGGTATCCAGTTAATGCTGGCCTTAGAAAATGAGCTGGGATTTTTCCTTCCTCCTCTACTTTATAAAATAGTTTGTGCAACATTGCTATTATTTCTTTCTTAAGTGTCTGAAACAATTCACCAGTGTAACCACTTGGGGCTGGCACTTCCTTACCATTTATTGTAGTGCAACTTTGCTGTTCCCAAATCTCTCAGCATTTGTTTGTTTGTCTGAAAAAGTTTATTTTTGCCTCCAGTTCTGAAAGTTGTTTGCTTTAGGTCTAGATTTTTAGATTAGCAGGTTATTTTCCTTTAAGCTCTTGAATGGTATCATTCTATTGTCTATGACTTGTGGTTTCTGACAAAGTCTGTGATATTTGTCTTTGTTCTTCTTCACCTACTTTGTCTCTTTTCTCTGGTTACTCTAGAGCTGTGATTTTCTAGTTTTCATAACATTTGGAAAAATTCGGGCTGAATTTTTTTTTATGTATTTTTCTGGCCCCCTCCTCCATTTTTTTCCCTAAGACTCCAGTTACACATATGTTGGATCACTTGATACTGTTGACAAGTCAATGAGCTCTGTTCATTTCAGTGTTTTTTTCTTTTTGTGCTTAATTTTGTATTGTTTCTAATAAAGTTTTCCAGGTCATCATTTCCTTTCTGCAGTACTGATCTGCTGAAAATATCATCCAGTAGAATTTTCATTTCAGATATTCTATTTTTCATCTCTCAAAAATCCTTTTGACTCTTTTTATATCTTATGTTTGTTTCCTCATTACGTTCATGTTTTCCTTTAAGTCTCTGAGCATAGTTAACAACATTTAAAATAGCTGTTTTAAAGTTATTTTCTGTTAATTCCATCATCTCTTTCATTCCTTGTTCTGAGGCTATTGACTGATTTTTCCTCCTGATTATGGGTTACGTTTTCCTGCTTTTTCACTTGTGCAGTAATTTTATTGGTCACTGGACATTGTGAATTTTACCTTGTTAAGTATTGGTTTTTGACTTTTATTTAAAGAGTGTTAAACTTTGTTCTGGTAGGAAGTCATTATTATCTGCAGATCAGCATAATCTTTTCAAAGCTAGTTTTAGGCTGTGTCTAGAATACCCTTTCTAGGGCTAGTTTAGTTTACTTATGGAATTTTTAATAAAGGCACTGTTTATATCAAAGAGATGTTCTCCACTCTGGATGGTGGGAGCTGAAATGATTCCTGACCCTACTTGAGCTCTGGGAAATATTTGGCCTAATCTCCACATTGAATTTTCCTTTCCTAGCAATTGTCTCTGCCTAGCTTCCACAATGTTCAAATTGGTGTTTAACCAGAACCTCAAGGGTATGGGATTCTGAATCTTAATCCCTCTCTCTTTCCTCTCTCCTTTTGCACTCCCTGCTCTTTGATGTTCTGTGCTGCAAATTCTAACTGCCTCAGCCTTACCTGACTATGCTCTCTGTCTCCTCACCTTGGTAAAGACCATTAGGCTTTTTGGTTTTCTCCATGTTGCGCTGCCATCTGGAAATTTTGTCCGGGAAGAATCACAGTCCTGTACTTCCTGTTGCCCAATGTTTTAAAACATTTTTTTCATGTTTTTTTCTAGTTTATTAAAGTGTTGTTTAAAGTGCTAGGGCAAATCCCATATCAGTTACTCTTTCACAGATGGAAGCAGAAATCCATCCTGGCTTTGTTTTTTTGTTTTGTTTTATGGGGTTGTTGTTGTTGTTATTGTTATTGTTGTTCTCTGTTTTAATGCCATATTTCTGTCAAGACTTTAGCTTTTCCTCTAACAATGCAAACTTCATTCACCCTGTTTTACTCACACTTACAAAAAGATTAGAAGTACAAAGCCTGCGGTTTTAATCACTTGAACATAAGCACAGTGGTGACTGAAAATACAAAGATTCAAAAGGGCTTTCCCATTAAGGACATACCTCTGAAAAAGAAAAACACTGTAGTTGTATATGCTAGCTCTTTGTATAACTTAACCTGATTACTAAGCTATTTGCATTTATAAAGTTGTATTGTCTCTACTATTGCCAGTCATGTCTAAGTATAACATGTTTTAACAATTTATATTAGCAAACAGCGTAAACATGCTTTGAAAGACTCACAATGCAAATGTAAGCTATTCCTCTAAACATGTCTATTCTGCACAAGGACATGTGGCCTGCATAGTTCCACTCGCTTGCTTGCTCTCCTTCCCTGGTTTCAAAGACAGCTGAGGGGCTCCATTTGTCATTCCCTGTCTTTGGTATGGGATTCTGTCTAAGGTAATTTGACAGCCCCTGTCCCATTCCATTTGATATATCCTACTTGCAAAGAGTTAAAAGACAGTACAAGTTTTAAAGTCAAACAGACTTGGGTGGTTCAAATATTAGCTTCATCTCAAGTTATTTAATGTCCCTGATAGGTCTTTTTAATCACATCTATAAAACAGGCACATCAATATTTAAATAGCAGGACATTTGCAGACGTTAGAGGAGAGTAATGTGCTTTGAGTACTGCCTGACATACAGGGCCTCATCAAAATCTGGTAGCTGTTATTTGTAAAACTCATCTTCTAAATTTCATTTAAAATAATATTTTATTCAAATACTACACATTTGGAGACAGCATTTTGCCTTCATAATATTCATGACACTATTTCATCACTAAAGTTTAAAATGCCAGCGAAATAGGCACTGATTTTAATGCCCCAGCAATTAGTACCATGTAAGGTCAGAGTATCCAATGTCTAGATGAAGACAAAAATCATTAGACACAAAGCTTCCTTCCCCACAGGTTTCTTTTTTCTTTTTAGAGGTGAAATTCATTAACATGAAATTAATCATTTAAAGTGTATATTTCAGTGGCATTTAGTACATTCACAATGTTGTACACCTAGAACTCCTCTCTAGTTCCATCAGAGTTTCATCACCCCAAAAGAAAATCCTGTACCCATGAAGAAGTCAGTACCCATTCCCCACTCCCCAGCTCCTGGCAACCACAAATTTGCTTTCTGTCCCTATAGATTTAACTATTCTAGATATTTCATAGCTATGAAACCATATAATGTGTAGCCTTTTGTGTCTGGCTTCTTTCATTTAACATAATATTTTTGAGGTCTATCAATGTTGTAGCATGTAGCAGTACTTCATTTTTTATGGCGGAATAATATTCCATTGTATGGATATAGCACATTTTGTTTATTTGTCCGAGGGTGTACAATTGGGTTGTTTCCACATTTTTGGGTACGTGTATTTGAGTACCTTTTTTCATTTCTTTTGAGTATATACTTAGGACTAGGAATTCTGGGTTTATATGGTAATTATATATTTAATTTTGGGGGATGTTTTGGCTTTTTTTTCTCCAAGGGGAAAGGCACAATCAGAAAAATGGGACCTGAGAATTCATGTGAGCCAATCTAATATGTGTGCCCGATGCAGCCAATTCTTGACCTTGTCTTTGACCTCTTCTACCAGCAGAGAAAGGTGGGTGCTGAGAAAGGTACAAGGCGGGTCCCTTACACCTCTGGCCTTTCTCCCTTAGGGCTTTGTCTGGCTGTCCCTGGGAAAACAGTGAGATGGTGCACCGTCTCAAATCAGGAGGCCAGCAAGTGCGCCAGTTTCCGAGACAGTATGAAAAAAGTCCTTCCTGAGACTGGCCCTCTTGTCGCCTGTGTGAAGAGAACCTCCCACCTTGAGTGCATCAAGGCCATCGCGGTAAGTCACTGCTCCCTAAAGGAGAGTGGAAGACGGTCCAAACTTTGTCATGCTCTTGTTGTTCTGGAGCAATTCCATACTCACATATAGGAAGCTGGTGTGTGGGGCAGTCAACCCCCACTAATACTATCACTTTAGAAATGGAAATAGGAGCGGTCATCTTTAACAAGTCTTAAAGCAAAATCCAGTGTGCTCTGAAAGGGGAGAATTTTGAGGTATTAAGCTCTCTGAATGCAAGAAGCAAACATGAATGTTTGCATCAACATGCTCTTACACCATTGCCTTGCAAATTCTTCATACACCATGGGAAGTAGATGAGGGATGCTCACCGGGAAGAGAACTAACAGGTCATGGTTGCAGATGATGGCTGATCCTTTGTTCTCTAGACTTTCCCAAATCCTCTTCTCTCCACCATTGTTCCCGCTCATTTGAATGTGTGTCAGACCCTGTGCTGGGCAGTGGGACTGCAGTGGTGAACCTGAACACACATGGTCCTTACTCTTGAGGAGCTTACAGTCTAGTCAGGAGAGGAGAAAACCATGCAAACAAGTAGACATGTAATTCCACATTGGGTGAAGTACAATGAAGGGGAAAAGTAGACTTTCCGAGGAAAGTAGCATTGGCCTGTGTGTCAGGGACAATCTCCCTGAGAGGGAACAATGACGCTGAGACCTCAGGGATGAACATGGGTAAGGCTGCCAAGAGCCTTGGGTAGAATACTCCAGAAGAACACAACAGCGTGTGCAAAGGGCCTGAGACAGAGGACAGCAAGCAGGAGACTGGAAGGAGTGATGAAGTGGGAGAGAGAGACTCAACCAGATGGAGCCTGATTAACTCAAGGAATCTGTGATTTGGTACAAACAACTTGTCTGTTTTGTTTCTTTCTTTTTTCTAAATTGGACCTCAATTACTATTGTGACTTAATTACAACCCTTCAATTATGACATATGTTCATCTTTGACCTATGCATGCCCCTATATTTTTAAATATGTTAAAATACAAAATAATACTATCCATGAACCCACTGCAGTTTCTCTAAGCTTCATCATTGCCAATAGCTTACTTCTAGGACTACTGTGTTGCAGCATTGGATTCTAGGGAAATGGCACCACTTGGTGTGTGTGTAACCCACTGGCCATACTCACAACAACCAATGTTTCCCCAAACTGAGCAAAGAGAATCCTAAGAATTTTTGCCATTTATTTCTATTTTAAGACTTATATAGATATGTGTGAATGATTGCATAGTTTTGCTTCTTAAAAAATTTATAGGGACCAGCCGAGTGGCTCAGTTGGTTAAGAGCACAAGCTCTGAGCAACAGAGTCACTGGTTCGATTCCCACATGGGCCAGTGAGCTGTGCCCGAGCTGAGCTGCCACTAAGCTGCCAACAGGTGGCAGGATGGCTCAGCTGGTGAGAGCATGTGCTCCTAACAACAAGGTTGCTGGTTCAACTCCCGCATAGGATGGTGGGCTATGCCCACCCACAACTAAAGATTGAACATGGCACCTTGAGCTGAGCAGCTGCAAGCTGCCGACGGGAGGCCAGATGGCAACTGGACTTGGAACTGAGCTCGCTGCACCCTCCACAACTAAGATTGAAAGACAACAACTTGAGTGTTCCTCTTTCCCAATTCCCCAACACTGTTCCCCTTCCCCAATAAAAATAAATAAATAAATAAATAAATAAATAATAAAATTTATAAAGATAACATTATTCTGTGTTGTCTTCTCATTTTTGGTTTTTCCTCCTCAATATTATGCTAAATTTTGCCTGTGTTGTTGAATGTAGCTGTTGTTCATTCATTTTCAGAGCTCTACAATGGTCCATTATGTTAGTATACCACAATTTATTTGTTCTTTTCCTGTCATTAGGCATTTGGATTGTTTTCAGTTTTTGTTATTGTAATCAGGGCTTGAGGAAAATTTTTTTACAAATCTCCAAGGACACAAGTATTAAAAGTTTCTCTTGAATTTATATGTAGAGGCAGACTTGCTGAGCCATGGGATGTGTCAGTATTTGACTTTTAAGACAATGCCAAATATATTTGATTTGTAAGCAAACTCAATGTGGTTATTTCAATTTTTACTTCCAATAGCTGTATATGAGAGAATACTCCATATCATTCTTGGTGAATGTAATATTTTATCATTATGAAATAATCTCTACCTCTTTTAGTGCTTTTGGACTAAACTCTGTTTTTCTGATATTAATACACTGCATCTACTTTCCTTGGTTAGTAATCTCCCCTTACATCTTTTTCCACTCCTTTATTTTTAACTTTCTATATGCTTATGTTTCAGGTGTGACTTTTGAAAACTGTATGCTCCTGGATTTTGTTTATTAATGCAGTCTGACAATCTCATTTGTTTTATATGGTATTGTACATTAGACCATTAATAATTATTGTTGTTATGGGTAAATTTAACTTATTTCTGCCACATTACTTTTTGATTTCTCTTAGTTCTGCTTTCCCCCAATTTCTGGATTTTTAAAAATTGAGTTTGTATATATGTTTTAATTTGCATTGCTTCCATTTATTCCACTGTCTCGCATTTGTAGTGAATTTAAACACTTTATTTATATTCTGTAATGATTTACTATATACTTTTTATTTTTACTACATACTTTTAGCTTACCAAAGAGTTATAGTAAAATAATCCTGACTCCCTGACATCTGCCAAATAATAAAAGTATCTAGAATACAGTAGCACAGAATTACCTGTTTAGATATTAGTATTTAGTCTTTTATGTCTATCTTTTTTAACTCCATAATGTACTTACTTTACGTATTTGTAGAGACTATATAAAAATATAAATATATTTATATGTATGTGTAGTTGTGTTTGTGTGTGTCTTTGTCTATGTATATATGTATATGCATGCACGCCCAAAAACTCAAAAAGAAAGAGAGAGATAGAGAGGTGGGGAGAGAGAGAGAATATTTGGATTTACCTACATTTTTGCCCTTTAATCTGTTCACCATTCATTCTCAATTTTCAGACCATCTTTCTGGGATATATTTATTTCCTAAATATGTCCTTTTGCTGAAACTTTAGAGTGAATCCCCTGGTGTTAATCTCTCTCAGTTGCTTGCTTGTTTGTTTTCTCTGCAAGTGCTTTAATGTCCCTCTTATTCTTGAGTGGTAATTTTGCTCAATGTATTATTCTAGTTTGACATTTTCTCAGGGTTTAAAAATATTATGCCACTGCCTTGTGACTTCCACTGTAGCCGATGAGAAGTCTGGTGCTGTCCTGTCATTTCTTCAATCATCTTCTCTCTGGATAATTTTGAGGTTTCATTTCCTTGGTCTATGATGTTGTACAAATTCACTATGATATTTCTAGTTGTGGAAATCTTGGTACCTAGTCTACTTATGTTATATTGGATCTGCAGAATCACGTTTTTTTTTTTCAGTTCTGGATAATTTGCAGCCATTATCTCTAAATACTGCCTTTTCTTAGTCTTTCAATTTTTTTATCTTTAAGTCCTAGGATTCTAAGATGACACATATTAGGCTTTCTTTAATCTAGCCTCCACATCATTTAACCCTTCTTTTATAAATTCTATCATCTGCCCTCTTTTGGCAAGCATCCAGGATAAATTCTTCAGATACAGCTTCTAGTTCACTAATTTTCTCTTTAACCACGTCTAATCACTTGTTGCCCATTCATTTACTTTTGTATTTCAAAGTTATATTTTTGTTTCTAGAAGCACCAGTTAATTTTTCTTCCCCTTTTATTCCTGATAATTTTTTCTATGCTTATGCCTGTGATTGTAGACTTCACTTTGTACGCAAAACAAAATGCTGCACAAGTAGCTCTTCTCCGATGCATCTGACGGTTCCAGCCTCCACATGTCTTGAGGGCCCAAGTCTGTTGTTTCCGTTGATGCCCACGCATTGTCACTTCCCTTCCTCTGGGTTTGGTTATTGTACCTAGGAGATAGTGCTTGATATTAATCTTCCCTTTCCCTGCTGGTTCAGGTTCCTCTCAGAATCCCTGCTGCTCTGGTGGATCCCATGAGTTAGGTCTTCGCTTCTTAGTTCCTGAGCACCTGAGGCTCCAGTGATTCCTGCCCAGAATCCTGGTGTTTAACCAAGAAAACCACAGCCTCACTGCCCTGGGAAATGCTCTTGTTTATTTGCTTATTTATTCCTATTCTGCAGTGTGTGGGGTGGGTGTGGAGAGTCTGTACAGGTTTCACATACCACTTGTGATACCAAGAAAGCCTCAAAGATTGTTTCATATCTGGTATGTAGTTCTGTCATGAAAGGGCTGTTCACCATATGAATGAATATTTTTAATGGCTCTGAAATGTACACTTGAAATGGTTCAATGGTAAATTTTGTGTTATGTATTTTATCACAATAAAGCAACAACAAAAACAACCCCAGCATTAGAAGAAATGTTTCAGGTAGACAAATATATAGTTCAGCTTGCCTTATTATTTTCTTTCATTTAGAAATACTATTTTATTACTCCTTATCTGTAACATGACACAGATCATGGAGCTATAGCTTCTGTTTTGTAATTTAATCAATAAGAACTATTCATAGAGTACTGACAAGGGCTTCTAAAAAATCATTTTGACTACAGATGTTTAAAGCATGAAAAAATGCAATAAAATTTCTTTTCAGCGTGTATGTTAAAAACAGTGCTTCTAACTTTAAGAGAAAATAAGTTCTAGTTCTAGTGGGAAAGCACGTATAATATTTCAAGTGAATTATTAGTTTAAGGTTGAAATTTCATGGAAGCAAAAACTCAAAAAAGAAAAAAAGAAAAAACCCCAGCAAGTAACAGTGTAATGGAAGGAATAAACCCATGCTGCCTGGATTTAAATCCCAGCTCCATGATTTACTAGCTATGTGGCCTGAGGAAGTGACATGAACTTTCTGCGTCTCTATTTTTTTTTCTTTTTTTGTGTTTATTTTTATCAACTTTACTGAAATGTTACTTGCATGTAGTAAACCCACTGTAAGCGTACAGTTCAAGGAATCTTGTTTCCAGGAATGTACAGTACACACCCCCGTAAACACCTCACCTGTCAAGGTGCACAATATCTACAGCACCCGAGAAGCCTCCTCCTTTTTTTGTTGTTGTTGTTGTTGTTTTTATTATGAAATACACATTATTTAGAATTAGTTCGTTGTATAATATTGTATGTCAACTATAAGTGAATATATATATATATATGGTCATAGGCCGTGGAGTATAGTGTGGGAGCGGAGTCAAGGGATTTGTAATAGATATGTATGATATTGGGGGGAAGTGGTGCGGTGGATTGGGGGAGGGGGATTGTCACTTCGAGGGGTAAAAAGTATAACTATTGCACTGTGCTGCGTCTCTATTTTTTAATGTGCGAAATGCAGCTGAGTTAGACAGTGGTGCACTGTGACACACCTGAACAGTCAATTAAATGAACAATACGCCATAATGGAAGTAATAATCATTTAACACTTAGTTCAGAGTAAAGCAAGAAGTTAAACAAGGAAACCCCAAATCCATGAATGAATGGCTTCTGCAGTTATATGGACCCAGGTCAAGAAGGAAAAGAACTGAGTAGAGAATCAGAGTGAGAAGAGTGTTGGCAAAGCTCCACTCCTCCTAAGGTGGGCTTCACAGTGGCGCCTGAGAAAGGCCTCAGCAGAAGGCTCAAGATAAAGAGGCCACCAAACAAAAGCTCTTGGGTTCTCAATGTAAGCACATGGAAGAGCGTGGCCAGGCAGGCGGACCTGAGTCATCGATGGCAGCCCCCTTCAGAGCCTGTAGTGCACGGGCTGTGCACCCAGTCTGGGGTGGGGAGGGCAGCTCTGCCCCCTGAGGCCTGCCAGGTGAAGCCTCTGTAATTCAGGCCGATCCTAAAAGATCACACGTAGGTTTCTGGGCCAGACTTCTCACAAGGGAGAGAAAAATATTCCATTCCTCCCTCTGTGCAGGAGGAATAGGAATATGGAGGCCAAATCCTGTCTCCAGGGAGGTCTAGTCAACTAAAGCTCACAGTGTGGTGTGTGGTCTGGCCAAGGGGAGGGTTTTTCTGGCCCTGGATCCAAGAAGCACCCCCAGTCACTCCCACTCGCTCTGGTTTAGGGGTGCCTCCCTGGAAGTGAGGGCTTCATTGGTGTCTTGTTTGTTCCCTTTCAGGCAAACGAAGCTGATGCTGTGACGTTAGATGCAGGTTTGATTTTTGAGGCTGGCCTGACTTCCTACAACCTGAAGCCCGTAGTGGCAGAGAACTATGGGTCAAAAGACAGTAAGTTCTCCCTGGGGCCCAGGAGAGAGTTTGCAGCCCTGTTTCTTCCTGGTTGATGCTGATGTTTAGGCAGGTATGGAGACTAGATGCTGATGAGCATGCCCCATGGGGAGCGAGTGGGGATGAGCGGCCGTGAGGGCCACCACAGGCGCAACTCAAGGCTTTGGGGCTTTGGGCTGATTGCGGACTGGTGCTCCTGACACTGACCTTCTGGGCCAGGAAATGTGCTCTCTGAAAAATCAGAGCAGGCTGTGTGCAGCCTCACCCAAACCGTTGGGGTTTAGAGCTGTAGAGAGAAGTCTTCCAAGAAGCACAGATGCCACACGCGGAGGAGAGCACACTGGAGCACACACTCAGAGCCCCGAGGGCCTGTGTCTCTTTTGGCAGTAAACTGACTGTCCCTGGGCCTGTGTCAGGGGACAGGAAATACCTAGAGCGAGTCAGGAACGAGGCCTTTATGTCCCAGCTCCCGTCTCCTGTCTGGTGGGCTGTGGTTGGTCGGTCCAGGCCGACGTCCTGCAGGGCCACGGTAGGGAAAGCGTTTCCTGTCCATGTGCTCATGGCCCCTTGTCCCTGTTTGCCTGGGGGGTTACCACAAATGGCCCCTCTGTGGTTCCTTCTGTCCCTGTGAGCCTGGAAAGGGATTCTGACCCCTCCCTCTTTACGGGACATG